ATATAAATTATTTATAATCGATCAGACTACTCTTTATTCAAATATTTTGCAAAATACACAATTATTACTTAAAGCTTGTTTGGTAAAGATTAAAATTCAATTAAAATTGAAAATATAGCCATTATTGGGTTTCACTCAACTAATAAAAGTCAATAATAAAGACTATTTTTTCAATTTTAATCCGATTTTAATCTCTACCGAACACGCCCTTACTTATTCATAGCTTATTTCTAACTATTTATTACTTTACTTATAAGCACTGTCCAAACAAAATAGTCTCGAGAGTCGAACAACAAATTTCTTTTGTAAACCATTCATCGTGTCGCATATTGAGAATGCTTATCTCCCCATTAGGCATGGCAAGGTCGTCAACAACTAGGCGTATGTATATTTTGCTTGATCTCAAAAATTAACTCATACACTTCAAAGCATTTAACTATTACAATTACGGAAAAAGTAATATTATTTTGTATGAACCACTTTGGATGAGTGGCTTTGGAACATTTGTCTATATGGAAGAATATAACCCCTATTTGAGCCACATTATTTTTGTCATTTTCATTTTTTTACTCATTTTCAACCACACATTTTTCAATAAAATAATATTTTTCATCACATCAATAACTTTTTTTTTTCAACCACATATTGCCCATCATATCAATCAAAAAAATGCATTCGTAGAACAAAAATGTGCACCAAACAAGGGTATAATGTGTCCAATTGAAAATAGCAAGTTACACCATTTGTGTTACATTATGTAATGTTGTACGTACTAATATTACTATTTTTTAATCTCCAAAAATTCAATTACTATTTCATTTTTAACTAAATATAATTTTTTTTTTCCCATTTATCTTTCCCTCCATGAATTAACATTCAATTGAGTCTTCTATGGCATTATATACATAACTTTTTTTTCCTTTTCATTTTAACACTTGTTGATATCCGACCTCACCAAGGCAAGCCCTGACCTGGGTGATAACTGTTGATATCCGACCTCACCAGGAGAGCTCCGACCTGGGGGTAATTCGACCGCGACCTCATTAAATACAGTTGGTTACATGCATTAAGCTCATACTAATATGAGTTAGGATATGTGAGGTAAGCTCGGTTTA